GATACCTACTTGTCTCTGGACCTTTTCATTTATAAGGGTGATTTGATCCCCAGGAAACATCAACATGCGACAAGCATGTTTGATTGCTATTGAACTGGGTTTAAGGTAAAGGCTGTCAAAGATCCTTACAGTGCCACTAGCTGGTCTTGTTGCTACTGTACTGAGGCACACCCAGTGTGACCCAGTATTTACAATCTGAACAAAGTCAGATCTAGCAGGCACAACATGTGACCCAGTGATTGTTGTATCATTTAGGCCATCTAGAAATGGAAATTTTTTTTAGGAGAAGCTGCCCTGCATGGATTTCTGAATCTGTTAGCCAGCTGGTTTTGTTGAGAATACTACTTTTGCTTGCGTGATAAAGAATTAGTTTAGATTCAGGATCATCAGGATTGCAATTTTCTAATTTCACCCACAATGGAGGATCAGGAGAATCATCATTGACAATAATTACAGGTGATTTACAGGAAGGGATGACTGGATCACAGGGACTGTTGCAGTTGTGCTCATCTGTGTTTTCTTTAGCTGATTCACCAGATTCATTCAGGAGAGTGTGCTTCTGTGGAGCTGACTGTGGTTTTGAATTTTCTGTGGGTGCAGGAGTGGGAGCATCATTTATGCCATTGGAAGAGGATGTTTCACTATTCAATGTCGGCACATTCTGGGGTGGTTGTCCCCAGTCTCGTCGTTGTTTCTTAGCTGGTGTGGAATATTTGAGGCCTGATTTGTTTTTTCTTTTCAGACTCTTTTTTGGTTTGGGTTTTGTCAGAGGTACTAGAGGCACCATTCACAGGGACATTCACTTTGTAGTGCTTTTGCATCATAGATGCAAATGCCCCAACTCTGTTTTTGTACCAGTTTTTCTTGGGCCGCACAGGTAGTGGAAGGTAATGCCCAGCAGATGATTTACCATTTGACTTAACCTGTTTGTTGAGCAATGTCTGTGGAAAGTTTTCCTTTTCATCAATTGTTTGGCATTTTTTAAACTTGTTGACTAATAATTCCAGAGAAGTATTAAGTTCCTTAAGGCCATTTAAATTTTCAATGTTGTATGTTATTGATGTTAGCTCTTTTAGTTTCTCTCTACACACCATTGCTTCCTGCCTTATTGGGTCTTCAGGATTTCTGGCTCTCTGCCTGGGTATGCCAGTTCTTTGACCTTGTAGATCCCTTTTAAGATTTTCGCCAATGCCATTATTTCCTTCCTCAGTGGACTCATCGGTAGCTTTATATTTATTAGCATCAACAAAGACATGTTCCCAGTCTAGTGAGATGTGAGGGTTTTGTCGGAACTTTTCTGGTAATGCATCCCACTGCCACATTGGATACAGGTCAAATATTGCAAAAAAAAATGCTTACATAGCAGCCCAGTGTGGCAAAAAATCAGGACAGGTACATCTTGGTATGATATTCTCAGAACCAAAAGAAAGATCGTACCAAACTTCATCTGTCTGGGACTGGACTTTGAAATTTCCGCCTTCTTCTTCTCTGATGTGTTTTGATTGAACTTCGCTTGCATGTTTTATCCGCTTCTCACAGTGGTTTAGGAAAGGTCTTGGTTTGTTGTGCAGGTATTTGGGTAGGGTCAAGCTGTAACGCTTGTAGCCTCCACTAAACTTTGTGTTTAGCTCCACATACCTAACAAAAATAGAAAGAGAGAGGAAAAAGGTTGACATGCAAGCTGCTTAGATGGAGAGATCATCGCTTCCGATTTACTTAACGTTTTGATAGAATATGAATTGCAAGTTTGTAGAGGTATTGTTCTTGGGCCATTATTCTCAAATAGCTAATTGAGTGAAAAAAAAAAAAAAGAGGGGACGAGGGGAAAGGCTCATTTTTTTCCATTGACCACCCACTTTTTCATTAGCCCCCGACTATTCAATAGCTTGAAACTGGCTATCTCTTTGCTCATAAGAGTCAAGTGACCTTGTCAATAATAATGAAAAAATATTGTGTTAAAAAATAGACTAATTCCTCGAAACCCCAAGAGCATTCAAAAATACAAAATGGCCAAGTTTTAGGGGCCTGACATTAGAGAGTGATTCTTTGTTGCAGTCTGAATTTTTGAGAAATTTTAAGGAATTGTATGAGATTCAAAAAATTCAAACACACTGTCATAAAAACTTCACTCAAACTGTGCAATTGTGCTTTTTTTTTGGTCATGATAAAGTGATTCCCCACCTCAAAATGGTTAATAGTGATGTTTTGTCTGTCTTTGACAGTTACTGTACCTTCTGTATTTGTCTGGAAAATACTCCTCAGTCACTACGGTAATCATCCCGCTAAGGCTGTTGTTATCGCGGTCCTTCAAATATTGGTATTTCAACGATTAATTCTGGCGTTCAGTTCCATTGTTGGTGTTGATACTGACCAGGAATCTGTCCTGCTTAAATGCCCACACCCATCTCTGTAACAGAACAGGTTATAGGAAATTTAATCTTTTCAAAAGTATTATATTTCTCCCTTGCTGCATGCTTGGGCATCATATGTTTATTGTGCCAAATTTATGACATAATAAATAATTACAAAATGAATCAATAAATCACTAATACAGTATTCAAATTGTTGTTGCTGTGTTACAAAAACTTGTAAAAAGTCACACCGTGCATTGTTTCCTTCAGGCTTTTAGATATTAAATAACAAGCCAATGGCGGCAATGACAATCCAACAGATGTGTACCTTATCAATATTGTCAATAGGTTTTTTAATATCAAACTGCTAGTAGACATACGGACAATGCTATGCTCTGTGGAAAACACTGACTGAGAATGGTCCTGCACTATTTCCTGAAAGTGACAGAGAAAACCCAAGCAAATGTTTGATGTGTGTACACTACTTACCTTGGCCTCTACCAACCAGGTTTTTTCAAACCAATTTCTAAGCTTGGGATTGGCTAACCAAAGGTCACTCTCCTTAAGTGAGGACAGATTGTCTTGAAATGCTTCCTCTGTTGATGATTTGGCAACATTACGAAGCAGACTTAGGACCTCCTCCCTGCTCTCTGACAAACCATTTTCAGTTTTTCTCAGCCATCTCTCCCAGCTTTGTTCTCGGTGAAAGTCACAGATATATGTTGTGGTATCTATTAAATAAAAAATTAACTTCATAAAATCTTTATTTGGATACAATTTTTGTATTTTTTGAAAATATTGGAAACCTATAAGTAAAACCTTTTCTTTATGACACTATATATATATGAACTGGTTGGTTATGATTAATGGTAAGCCATCCAGATTAAACAATTCTTATTATCTCCAAAGTTATAATAACTGTTCTACATGTTAAACCACATTTAACCATATTTTTTAATTTAGTCTCTAAAGTAGGTCTTCAACAAGGGGAAAATTGCCAAAAAAAATATGCAGTTAGCCCTTGTGGTCAGCAAATGTATTAGGATGCTCTTATCAGCCACTCACATCAATTGAAGTCTAAGGTTAACATATATTTTATTGAAACATTCTTACCTGGGAATGTGCTCTCAATGGCATTAATCTCCTCCTGGCAAAAGTCAGTCATAAAATATCGTGGCTTCCAGCTTTCATTCCAATCTTGAAAGATTTCCAGTGCTTCCTGAATGGAAGCTGTTGTTTCCCTTTGAATTATAAAACATCCCACAACCGTGTAGTTAACATTTGTCTTGACAACTAGAAGAAATAATGGTAGGTCATATCTCATTGTCTTGTAGGTTGCATCAAGGAGGGATATTTCATTTCCATAAAGATTCATAAGATGTTTCTGCCAGGCTGTTTGATGTGCAAAGAGGAGTTCTTCAGTCTGCTCACAAGTCTCATCTGTTTCACTTCCTGTTTCGGCAGTAGCTGAGGTAGACAGAGCACTGGGTCGAAAATAGAACGAGTCCTCAGGATGCTCCTCACGCCAATTTTCTATTTTCCTTTGCAGGTTTTCCTGATCCACTTTGGACAGCAATTTTTTTACCGATGCCCGGTACATGTGGTTCCTGACATCCACATCTGTGGGATAGAAGCGCCTGTTTGTAATAGGAGGTGGAGTCTGCCCTGGAAAAAGTTCACATTTCACAAACTGTTTAAGGTGTCTTTTCATTTCATCAACAGTTTTAACACCTTCACCAACAAGCTCTTCAATCTTGTCTACAAGCCGTTTGTCAATTGGTTGCAGAAGACCACCAACCTTATTTGTTGAAAAAGAAGGGAAAAAATTGTGTTAATAACTATACAAATATATAATTTAATATGTATAATTAATAATAATACTGAATGGTCGATGATCCGCACGAGGTTAAGCCAATATTGTGGAATAGTTGTCACTGAGCCTGAGTAGAGTAATAATTATTCTACTCAGGATGTCAGTGGCATCCGATTAGAGGTATATTGCTACTGACATGGGTACTTTAGATTACAGTTTCTGGTATCGACTTATTACACTTTGCATGATGACCTGACTTTCCTTTTAAATTATGGGCACAAATTAATCAGAATGAACTTGTTTATTTTGTTGATCCTGTCTTAAAATCAAAATACAGTTTAATAGACAAAACGGTAGATTAAGAAAGTAAGTGACTGTACAGAAAAATGTGAAAAGGATGATAGCATCAACATGACACAAGCATGAAGCAAAGAAACAAAGCTGAGTCCCTGACAGAAATTGACCCATGACATCCCAAACGTTGGGCAGAAACTCTTTCCAGTGAGGTACAAGAACTCCCGGAGAGCCAGCCCATTTAACATGCATCCTGCATGCATACTGCTAGGTTCAGCAGTTTTATTTCCAAGCTTAAAATTCACCATTGTCTCATTTATCAGTACAGAAAAATTTATAAAAATGATCTTAGGTTTACTTGTAAGACCATTCATCGGACGGGTGCTTAACAAACCTCGCCAGTGATATGGTCTTTGTGTTCATCCTCCTTTGGTAGGTAGATATAGATTCTACGTTCATATGAAGGTTTTTGTCTCCACTGTTGGTATCAGTCTTTAGCTTTTTGGACATGTCCCGTCAAAGTCTCTCTGTGTCATCCCTGA